AAAAAGATTTTTCCAATCTTGTTTGAAAGAGGTTTATTCAATCCCTTGTGTTGTTCAGCATCGATAATTCCTGTTGATCATCCTTCAAGTTTGCTGACTTTCTCATCTCCATTCTGCTAGTTAGCCCACCCAGTAAGTTCTTATTTTAGATTTTATATGTAAATTTAGTTCTGAAATTTCCACTTGGTTCTTATTTCTTCTATTTCTTTGCTGAAACTTTCTGTCTTTCCACTTGTCTCAAGAGTATCCACATGTACTTCAGTTTTCTGAAATATTCATTTCTCCTTCTGAAAAAGCTCCTGACATTTGGCCCGTTCATTTGCCCTTTGACTCTCACAAAAAGTCAGGAGCAGAATGCACAAAATAAAAATCTGGTTACTTGAGATAGTTTGTTGCCTTTAGGATTCCAGATGAGTGACAATGTACTGTGTTCATATTAGACTGGTTGCTTGAATAATTTTTCTCATTTTATACTTGGTAAGGAAACTAAACAGACTTCCGATACCCAGAGGGAATTTTGGATCTGCTAATTACTAACAGTGCGATTCTGAGAAGTCTCTTCCCCTCTCTGGGCAATATTTTCATGAGGGTCAAATTGATCTCTGACATTCTAGGGTTCTCTGGTGTATGGAGCATGGAAAACAGCATCCATATTTGTCCACTGGATATTTTCTTTCTTGCCCTTTTTGGTCTTAGGACAACAATGGAGACAGTTTTATGATATTAGGGTGAGCTTAGAACCTTAGGATTCTTAGAGAGCAAGATCATGGACAGGTGGATGTTAACATCTCTTGTTTAAATTAAGGGTGATATCACCAACTTTCTTCTGCCAAACAGGCCAGCAGACTTTAAGTTAAGTGTTACCAACATGTGATTTGCATCCCTTCCGCTGCAGTTTCTCAAGGTCTGCCTGGCCTCCTTGTGCTAGCCTTGGCTGCCATGGATGCTCTCCCCCTCCACTGCTGTTTTCTTTCCTTTCCACAGCTACTTCAGCTCTCAGCCGCTGCTGTGGACAAAGGACGCAGCGTGGGTGAGGTTCTGCAATCCGTACTGCGCTATGAGAAGGAGCGACAGCTAGATGAGGCGGTGGGAAATGTCACACGACTGCAGCTGCTGGATTGGCTGATGGTGAACCTGTGATCGGCGCCCACCCACTACTTTCCCCTCTTCCAGCAGTGAGCCTGGCCCCTATCCCCTCCCTTCTTTCTCCCTTCCACAGCTCCCCTCCACACCCTCGCAGAGCCCTAACATTATCTTCACGTCAAAGACATGCCATCTTATGCTAGTCACTGGATTTTGCAGATTTTCCTGTCCATGCGAGCAAGGACATAAATTAAAAAATTACAATTAAAGGGCTCCAGGTGTTCGATTTCCTTGGAATCCAGTGGGACAATGAGGTACAGAAATCTCAGGAGTGAAGAGTATTAATAATCGGGTGGATGGCAGAGGTAAAATAGTGCTGGCCTGAGAGGCACTGCCAAGGTCACTCAGCCTGTTCTCTGTGTGTCCCCTGTCTCCGCACCAAAATTCACAGCTCCCTCATTTAAACTAGTCACTTAAAATAAGCCTTTATCAAGAATTCATTTCAGCCTTTATGTCCAGGAAAATCAGAAAATAATTTCGAATATCCAATCAAAATATGTTAATTATGATGTGAGGAATTGGCTTCTTGTCCTGTCTATAGAGCTGCAGGACAACTGTCC